GTAGCTTTGCGCGAAATTCAAAAACAAACAAATAAAACAATGAGTAACTAGGTAACAGTATTTGTGATTTTTTTTCTCCAGTTACTTAGTTTCAAATACACATGGTACTGATACAAGAGGATATATTTCACTCAAAATTAGCGCAGGTAGCCTTTGGTGCTTTACGCTAAAAAACACCTGAAACAATAAAAACAAAAGCAATTCTCTCAATGATTTTGTTTTATTACAATTAAATGGGTTAACTATACACTGTGTTAAATTATGAATATATATATATATATATTTACTAACTGTCAATATTTATATATACTAGCATTTTAAGAGGTAAAATAAAGCTATTTCTAATGTCATTTCACCAGGGTCGTGTAGGCTAATAAAAGAGGCATTGCATGGTAACTGATGTTGAAGTGTGTACAGTAATTTCTAGTTTTAAATTTAAAAACAACAATGTTAATATTTCATTCTTTCTACGAAGTAGGAGGTTGTTAACAATGATAAAAATCTAAATCAGTAGGTACTTTATATTCAATTCAAAGGCTATGCCAGAGGGAGTTCCACAACGTGGGGTCTACTGTTGTTTGTCTTATCAACATCAGGAGGAAATTTGTAAGCACGCGTGTGCTCCCACTACCTCTCTCGAGAGCTCGGTAATAGAAGAGCTTTCCATTCCTTAATAGCGATAGAATCAGCCGATATTAAAGCAACAAATCTTAACACCAAGCGGGAGTTATGCTCTGGAGTACCCACGTAAGGAAGTTATTATTCTCGTAATTACCCAGTCATTCATATCTATCTATCTAAATATTTTTTTTTCCCTTGTTGAAAATTTTTAAATTATTTTTTGTCCTTTTAAAAGAATAAAATCCATGAATCGATATCAAATTCTAGTCAATTAAAAAAAATAATTGCAAATCAACACTCTTGTCAGTAACTTTGATTTTAAACTGTGTTCTATTGTCTAATATATCAGTTAGCAATGACGCCTTTGTGCTCGTCAATTTGCATTCTAGTTGTGTTATACTAGCAGCGAATAAAATATTCGCGCTCAAATTGCTATCTTTATTGCAACGGTACTTCTCTAAATACATGATTTTAGTTATTATTTAGTCAAAGATTTTAACAGAATCAAAATTAACTTATCAGAAAGCAAACGAATGTCAACTGTTAAGCTAGTATATGAAAACGTTCAATTTGAAAATAACACAAAAGAATTGTAATCGCAGATACCAAAATGTGCAAGTCCACTTGTCTTAGGCCTAACATTAGTTAGGACTTTATTAATTCCGGTCTATATTCGATAACAAATTAACACCAAGTTGTGTACGTTTTTTGCTTTAGCTTAGTTGGGGTTAAACTTTACCGTACTTAATACTATCAGTAAATAAACTTAATGTTTGTTTGTTTATAACAGAGCAAAGCCACATTGGACTATCCACTGTGTCCACCGTAAGGAATCGAACTCCGAGTTTTAGCGTTGTAAGTTCGTACATTTACCGTTGTCCTAGTGCGACACCAATAATATTATAATATTATTCTACGACTTAACGTTAGACCTTTTGAAACACTTTACATAAACTCTTAATATGTTGTTGTACAAAATATCCTCTAAAGGATATTTACATCCGCCTTTTATTTACAGTCGTTGGAATGTATACGCATGCGCATTTAGATAGTAACGTGTATGTGCATTTTCAGAAAGACAAAATTGGGTATTATTATAACAGATTTATGCCGGTTTGCAATTAGTCCCGCAGTTTGTTCCAGGGAGATGAAAAAACGGTCAAAGTCAAAACGTTCAGAATAATATTTACCTTCTGTTTCAGCTTGAGGTTTATTAAAGTATCCTTAAGATTTGTGCATTTTAAAATGAAGGACCCAGGGTTAATCATTAATTCGTTGAATTTTATGGTTTTAGCTGTCCACCTACTTTATCCTGTATCTATCTTTACGATTTAGATAAAGCATTGTAAAGTTAGAAACTGTGATACCCCTTGGTGGGGCGCGGTAAATTATAACCATCTGATGGGCGGAACTAAAGCACGCTATACAGGTAAAAAAGGTTATCTTACAGTAATGGATTTCCATTATTGGTGTATATGGATTTCCATAGAGGGAAACGTATATAAAAACTCACTTATAATGATCACAGACTCAAAGATCAGGTATCTTGTGAACATATTTGTAAAGATAAGCATTGCACTCGGTGCAATATAATAATAATAGTAATAACTACTGGATTTTGTAAAACATTTACCGAATCGGAAAAAGAAATAAATTTACTTTATTTCTCAAAAATTTGTAACTGAATGATATACCCCATTTTCTAAAAACTCAACATATTTATTTAGGTTCAAATATTTTTTGGAGAAAATCAAGATGAAGTCAATAATGAAAAGGTTTGTAAAGCATACATCCAGTCTGTTTTATTGATGACGCTCGGAGTAATACATTTTATGTATAAGCTAACTAATTAGTTCCTGGATATAAAACTTTCTAACAGTTCAGTTGGTCGATCGTACAAACAACGTGGGTGATGTTGTCTCTCTCTAGTCCATCACTTGGCGGAGGGCGATGTTGTCTCTCTAGTCCATCACTTGGCGGAGGGTGATGTTGTCTCTCTAGTCTATCACTTGCCGGAGGGTGATGTTGTGCCAAGTGATGGAATAGAGAGACAACATCACCCTCCGCCAAGTGATGGACAATAGAGACAACATGACCCACCGCCAAGTGATAGACTAGAGAGACAACATCACCCACCGACAAGTGATAGACTAGAGAAACAACATCACCCTCCGGCAAGTGATAGACTAGAGAGACAACATCACCCTCCGCCAAGTGATGGACTAGAGAGACAACATCACCCTCCGCCAACTGATGGACTAGAGAGACAGCATCACCCTCCGACAAGTGATAGACTAGAGAAAGACTAGAGAGACAACATCACCCACCGACAAGTGATAGACTAGAGAAACAACATCACCCTCTTATCACTTGTCGGTGGGTGATGTTGTTTCTCTAGTCTATCACTTGGCGGTGGGTGATGTTGTCTCTCTAGTCTATCACTTGTCGGTGGGTGATGTTGTCTCTCTAATCTATCACTTGCCGGAGGGTGATGTTGTCTCTTTAGTCTATCACTTGGCGGAGAGTGATGTTGTTTCTCTAGTCTATCACTTGGCGGAGGGTGATGTTGTCTCTCTAGTCCAACACTTGGCGGAGGGTGATGTTGTCTCTGTATTCCATCACTTGGCAGAGGGTGATGTTGTTTCTCTAGTCTATCACTTGTCGGTGGGTGATGTTGTCTCTCTAGTCTTTCACTTGGCGGTGGGTGATATTGTCTCTCTAGTCTATCACTTGTCGGTGGGTGATGTTGTCTCTCTAGTCCATCACTTGGCGGAGGGTGATGTTGTCTCTCTAGTCTATCACTTGTCGGTGGGTGATGTTGTTTCTCTAGTCTATCACTTGTCGGTGGGTGATGTTGTCTCTCTTGTCCATCACTTGGAAATGAGATAATCCTCAAGTAGCTTTGCGCGAAATCTGACAAACAAATAAACGAATATTTTGGTATAATGTTATATATTAGGCTTAGCTCTAATAACTTTAGTAAGTTTTTTTTAACCCTCGAGTTACCGATGGGGTCCATCTGCTTTTTAAACAAATTAACGTTTTATGTATGAAACTGATTGTGGGTTCGTGCTTTTTTGTGTAAAAGAATCTCCAATAACATTCAGTTGATTTCACTAATTACTATTGAGCTTTCCTGGTTATTTTGCAAGGAAAATGAGTGAGTCAAACAATTATTTTGTTCTATTCTTTACACATAGCATTCTAAGAGGAAAAAAACAACAACATTACATCACCCAGTATGGTGTAGTATATGAACCTCACCGATTTTAATTTTTTCTTAATGCGAAGCTATTGGCTAAATTAATCAAATAATTCGTTTTTATAATAGTTACCACAATGGAAAATACCAGTAACCCCAATCTTTTGAGATATGGTTAAAATACGGTGACCCCAGACAAAAAACAGTAAAAATGAAGAGTAGCCATGGTGTCACAATTCTCGACACAGCTGTAGATCAGATCTTTCATCAATGTTCCTTTCAGCCTCACTATCGTTGTACATAATCATTGTGTAACACATCCAAGTTATATAGCTGTGAAGTAAAATATTTTACAGTCTGTCAGTGTTATGGAGTAACGTACACAGAGATTTTGAGCTGTTTTTTTTAACAACTGTGAAATCTAATTACAAACACATGAGATTTAAAAAAGACACTGGTATACCATTAAAATATGTAACATAGAACTTAAGAAACATATATAAATTAGAAACGTAACTGCTTTCGAGAAGTTTTGTTATTAACTTTATGTCGACAGACTTGTGATAAAAAAACTCACAAACTGCAGACGATTTTTCCTTCCCGTCACACTCCTCCCAATTCATCTATTTAGTCCTATGAGTAGGAAGCAACAAAAACAAGAACAAAAAAATCACTTCTCACATGCGTTGTTCTAGTTTACAAATATTGTTATACTTTTCAGATTTTATTGTTTTAATTTAACGTAACCATTACAGTATATAAGAAACTTCTTTTACATAGATCCATTTGTTTTATTTGATATATAAATTCACTCTGACTTATCCAATTGAACCCATCCTCACTTCCTTGACGTTAATTAACTTTAGATATTTATCAGCTCGCTAACCTCGAACCAGTGAGCCACGCGTGTTGTTAACCTTGGTTTAGAATATTGATAAATCTTATTTCTACATGAACCAAGTGCATCTTATCTGTGCACCTACGCCCGGCCACTGGGAGAACTGTGTCTGACTTAATTGAATAATAAAGAAACAGTAGTAGTCAGTAGTAGCTGGAATATCCATATGTTATTTCCACATCAGTCACATCACCTGTATCAAAGTACTTCCATCATGGGCAAGTGTAAAAACCTGTATTAAATTATACTACAGTTGTGTCTGGTAAAATAAAGGAATGCCAGTTTAGATCAGGCCACAAGCTCATACCGTAATCAGCTGAAGGTAACAGATGCAAATAACGTTAGCTTTCATAAGCCTAGTTATGCCGACAACGCACGAAACTAGGCGGTAAAACTAAACTTGCCTTCAGGTGGGCAACTGATCTTGTTTAGTTTTTATTAATACACCTACAGATCTTTTTTTTCTGCTGAGTAGCCGCGCATGTTATCGACCTAAAACTTGGTGGTTGACAGCTGATAACTTATACTCAAGTTCTCAGCTTACCACAGCATCAGTTTGTTTTATTTGATTAATAATATCTCTGTGTATAACCATAAAAGAAAATGATATACATAGGTGCAACCTCAAACATTGTGGTAACGAATGAAACTAGTAAAAACTACATTAGTGTTCTGTTATTCATAGCTATTTCAAGACTGAACTGAGCGTGATATAATGGTAAGAGTGCTTGGATATAGAATCCGATGATTCATATTTCTCGTCCCTCGCCATGGATGCACTATAATATTGACGGTCATCTCCAACTACTCGGCCAGATAAGAGTAGCCTAAGAGTTGGCAGTGGGTACTGTCTTCCATCTAGTCGGTCATTTCGAAATTAGGGACAGCTAGGCGTGGATGGCATTTTCTGTAGCTTTGCTCAAAACTTCTGAACATGTGTAAATACTGCAAGAATTACGAATTATTGCATTGTTATATTACAACAATTTATCTTCTTGAAGAACATAATAAGAAATTTTAGTATGATATCATAATCAAGTTTTACTTTGAAATAAATATCTCGTTCAGAGAAAGTATTAGGATTTCAATACAGTTGGGCTAGTAATTTAGTGCCAAGCTAAGCGATGCCATCAAGTGGTCTCAGAAGCAAACGTATTAAATTCTGGTATTCCAGAGAAACCTCATTTATACTGTTATATCTTTAAACCTTACTAAGTGAATGTTTTCAATTATTACCATAATAGGTCAAGCACTTTCTAGAAATTTGGCTTCACTCTCGGACACCACCTCTTACCATATACATCTACCTGGTCATTGATTAAACACTTATATCCCACCACATGTAGCTACCTGGTCATTGATTAAACACTTACTATCCCACCACATGCATCTACCTGGTCACTGATTAAACATTTATAACCCGCCATATGCATCTACCTGATCATTGATTAAAGACTTATATCCCACCATATACATCTACCTGGTCATTTATTAAACACTTATATCCCACCACATGCATCTACCTGGCCATTGATTAAACACTTGTATCCCACCATATAAATCCACCTGGTCATTGATTAAACACTTTTAAATATCTTCAGTAATATATAGTCTATGAAGTGACAAACAGACTGATTCATCTTCTATTTGTCTCCCATGGCACAGCGGTATGTTTGCAGACTTATAACGCTAAAGTTGCAATGCCCGTGGTGGGGACAGCACAGAAAGCCTACTGTGTAGTTTTGTCCTTAACAAAAACAAAATCTGTTTTACTGAAAAGCCTAGTGTTGCGATAAGAAAAAATGACAAGCCTCCTGATGGTATCAACCGTAGTAATAATAAAGATATGTTCTAAGCGAACTGGATATAAATATTACTTTTAGCTTTAACGAAGATAATATTTGGGTTTCTAAGTGTACTCATAAAATTTTCACCAATAAAAACAAAACGTTTGTTTTACAAACGCGTTTCCAGAAACTTATAACAGTTGGCTGCACTCTAAAATCTTTGTTGGAAATATATGTTTTTCACACACACAAAAAAAGTTTACAACAACAACAACAACAACAAAAAAGGAATCCTTGTTCAATTTAATTTTCAGCATTATGTAAAATTATGTTGATATCAGTTTCTGTTAATTAAAAAATATTGTTGGCTTGTTTCCCAGAAATATGTAGGAATGTGATTCTCCAGGTGTTGTGATGTCTTCTCTAAATAATGTCACGTCGACAGATGTCAGCAGCAGGTGCTTATAGCAAAATAATACATTCAAGTCTTAAAACAATTTATTTACAATTTTTAGATAAGATTTATTTACTATCATTAAAACACACGGCATATTTTAACTTTTAAAATAAGAATAAATTTCCCGTATATTCTCTATTTAAACTTATGTTGACATTCAATTCTACTCCATATAAACAACAATTAATAGATAGTTAAATTATTTTAAAGCTAGAAGCTATAATTAATTAATGTTTTATTCCATAATAATTCACTATTTTCTATACGATCACGTGGACTTATTAACCCTAACATGTATGGACTGGGTCCTTTCCCTTGTTTTAACCAGTTAATCATATCTTCTGGCCTGTCCGAAGTGTGAGCATTGATGGGTAGTCTTGACAAGTCCAGTGCTTCTGCCACTATACCCGTCACAAATATATCATCAACCCAGAAGAACGGGAGTCTTTTGGAAGCGGCTAGGATATCTCTGGCAATATCCAATGTCACAAAGTACCCCATTCCAGAACAATATTCCGGGTAGGTGTCAAAACTGAATTCCTTCCTTGTAACGCCCCACTTACCGTTGCGGTGGGGAAGAGTTCCCGCAGATACCACCGAACAAGCTAATACACTAGTAGGACTTCGACCGAAAGTAAAAAGTAGGAACCTTACGATCTGAAAAGTATCAACATAAACATCGTCATCCAACTTAAGAATAAATGTAGCTTTTGGACAAAACTCCGTGGCCCACTTATAGCCCATGATATGTTTTAAAGACAAGTTTCGGTAGGAGTCAACAAAGGAACCCTGAATGATGTCATGATGTTGATCCTTTTCTTGACGTATTCTTGACTGCAGTCTTTGGTCCGTTTCACCTAGAAGAAAACCGATACTAATTGTTACGTTATGGATATGACGTATTGATCCCCACGTGTTTCGAATTAGTTTTCGATGTATGAAGTGATTCGGAGCTGTATGAACTAAAACTAGAATAAACGGAGGTTTTTCTCTACATATTTTTGTTGAATTATAAACAAATTTAAAATCTTTGAGATGAAGCAGTTCCATTGGACTGGGTTCGGATAAAACGCTTCGCGGAAAATGAATATTACTGCGGTACTCGTTCAGTTGTAGAGTGTCACCTATTATATTCGGAAGTTCTGGTCGTCTTCTTGTCCCTGTAAAGGTGAACAGAAATCCTCCCATGGCAGACACCCATAAGAAGAAGTATCGTATTTTCAACGATTTACATCTCAGCAAATCTTCAAAGATATTCTTAAGAGCCATAGTCCTCTTACAGCCATCAATTCTGGGGGGAAAAAAACAAGAAAATAAACACAGTTTCTACATAAAAAAGCACAAAAATCCATAAATAGTACAGGCCTGTGAATTTAAACTTCATAGACTTCATAATTCAGCTACGTAGATTTCGAAAATAATATTTTTTTTTTATCACATAAGAATGTTTACAAATCGAGAACAAAAAACAAACTCTTACTCAGATCAAGTAATTATTTCGTTTACCACAATGAAAGTTTTTTATTATTATGCTTGTTAACAAAAATACAAATAAATTGAAGAAAAGGGAAGAACATTGATATCAAACAAATATGCATCCTCATTCAACCAGATTTTTTTTTGTGAAATCTATGTCTTTTTGTCTCAAAACTACGTGTTGTGGTCTTTCTTTTATGTATTGCGTTATGACGATTCGTGAAAATTCTGTACGTGATGATGAAAAATGGATATCATTTTCGGATTCAGCATACAGGAATTACCGTAGAACATGTAAACATTTGAAGACAATAAAACCATCGCAGGCCTGTGTAATTATAGTACATGAATATATATATATATGTATACTACAGATCCAGAGTTAAATTTACTAGTCATACATGATCTCAGATATAGTAGTAGTAGCACTTTCATAAAATATCATAGAAAATAATATTTGCAGAGTGAAATTTCTATCTTCCATTGTATCATAACTTCAGTGGTCGTCTGCTGTTTTAAATTAAGCATAAATACTTCAAAGATTTAAAATGTAACTTGACCAACAAAGTTTATCATTACTTTCGAAATTCTTTTAATTTCTCTTATGTTTTTTTTTGTTGTTTTCAAAGGAAAATAATTGTTCGTTTTGAATTTCGCGCAAAGCTACACGAGGGCTATCTGCGCTAGCCGTCCCTAATTTAGCAGTGTAAGACTAGAGGGAAGGCAGCTAGTCATCACCACCCACCGCCAACTCTTGGGCTACTCTTTTACCAACGAATAGTGG